TACCGTTTCGAACAATCCTACCTCGAATAAACCACCGCCGGAAACATTATCAAAGGCTTCGACAACTATATCAAGGGCTCATCCAGCGGCGCAGGGATCGGCGGAGCAGGCATTGCACTCTCCTCAAGTATGAGTGGTGGTGGAGGTGCAGCAAGACGAAAGGCGACGGTGTCGGACGCGGATCGTGTGTTTTCGAGGAGTTCGGCGAGTTTTATGCGGGTATGCACCCCCTTGAAAACTTCATATCCACCCTCCGTCTTTGTTTGGCTGTGTGGTATTCTTGGACGTGTGTAAAGCTGACGAACTGTGTTTTTGTGATTAGGATTCACCTGCACCTTCATCGGCTCAAACGACGCCGTCGCATGCCGCGACTCCGAACTCGACGTATAATGGGTCTACCGGCAAGCCTGGGAACGGGGATGCGTCGTCTGCGGCGAATAGTGTGAAGGGGGGACAGGCGTCGAAGAATAAGAAGAAGTCTGCGGCGAGTAACAAGGACAAGGGGGATGATGATGGGACAGATGGGGATAGGCCGCCTACGAAGAGGTTGAAGATTACTTATGGGAGGGATTGATATATCAGGTTATTTTACTTCGTCTGGTTTCATGTGGATTGATTGGTTGGAGTTGGTAGGTTTATATTTGGGTTGGATAGGGAGCTGTGGCGCGCGGGAAACTACTGATTATATTTGTTCGAAGACTTCGCTTTATCGGCTATGTTTTGTTATCTGTCTGTGATATCCTCTGTACTACTAGACTGCATCGGCATTGCTCTGCTAGACTATACATCTCAAAAGATATGTCACTCGGGGCTAGAAATTACAGACAATTTCCCCTTTCCAATGCATGGAGAGACTACAGCTGTAGTCTGTACGTCGCGACCTCGAAAGCTCTCAGCTCGATATCAATGCTCGTGGTCTGCGCATCAACCTTGGATAAGACAAGGCTTGTCTCGTCATCCTCAAGGATGTTGCACTTCCAAGCCTTCTTGACGGGGAGCTTGGTATTGATGGTGCCACGACTCTTACCACCTAGGGACTCGTAGATTCGGAGGATGACGCTCTTCCCGGCACGCCGTGGCAGTTCATCACGAGACACGTCTTCATCGTCCTCACCGCGCTTCACCGTGTCCAGGACAAGCGAAGGAGAACCGTCCAGCAAGATTGACTTGAAAGCGTCGCTTGCTTCTTGACTGGATGCGGGTTCCAGGGCAAGAGGGTGGTTAAAGCTGTACCCTGCGCGGATGGTGCGATGGTCCAGGGGTCCTGCGTGCGGGAGAATCGCGTAACGGATTCGATGACGACCCATATCTGCATGAGCATCCGGTGCCTTCGGGGCCCGAAGCAGGGAAAGGCGCATCATGTTACCACAGGTTGCGAACCCATATTTGGAATCATTGAGGATCGAGACACCGTAGCCGTGTTCAGACAGATCTGCCCATTTGTGGCAGCACACCTCGAACTTGGCCATGTCCCAGCTGAAGCTTGTTAGCAATTTGTATATATAGAAGCAGAGACTGTATTACCTGGTGTTATAGTGAGTCGGGCGATTAATGATTCCGTACTGAGTCTCATACGATGCCTGTGTGTTCGTGATATCGACAGGGAACTCGACCTTGAGGAACTTCATAGTCTCCCGCCATTCAACTTCACTTTCCATTTCGACATACGATGGCTGGTCGCCAACGGCTGCAGCCAGACTGATAGTCGTCTTGATCCAGCTCTTGTCGCTTATGCGGGTCTCAGTGACCACGCTCACACGATATGGATCGTGCTCAGCGACGGTAGTCTTTCCGGATTGCAACTCCTTCCTAGATTCGAGGTGGAAGACCTCAACATCCCACGCTTGCCAGTAGAGTGGTTTATCGTCAAAAATGACAAGCTGGTTAGCTTTTCCACCCTTGGCAACAATCTCGCGCTTTTCCTTTAGATCATACAGCGACGTGATGACTCCGTTATGGACATCCACCCTCAGTTTCTCATTCTGTAGACGGAAAACACCGGGCTCGATCTCGGAAACAGTCACGGCAGGCGCTGTGCTCGAAGCTGTAGGGAGCTGGCACTGAAGAATACCACTTTCGCCACTGACAATGGCGTACCTGGGGCCACCCGCGGATGTAAAACCAGCAGGGACCTTGACTACTTCCGAGCGAGGCCAGGGCAATGTGTTAATTGCAACGAGACTCTTAGCGCTCCGGCTTCCAACTCCAAGAGCTTGGAGGGCTTCCTTCCGAACCTTGTTGCCAATTTCAAATACCTTCTTGTAAAGCTCTCTGGAGTCATCGTAGCACATCTCAATGCTGCTACCGGGGAGGCAATCGTGGAATTGGCACAAAAGCACATCCTCCCACATCTCGTCAATTTCCTCCTTGGGGTATTTATACTTATCAGCAGGCTGCTCCAAAGTAGCAAGAGTAGCCAGGTATTCGATTTCCCTTAGCAGGAACTCTGACTTTCGGTTGCCCCGCTTGTTGTTGGCTTGTGTGGTATATGTGCCCCGATGTAGTTCGAAATATAGTTCACCATACCATGTGGCAAAGCGAGTGCCCTGCTCTACCTTCTTCTCGAGTTTTGCGAAGAAATCATCGACTGAATCTCCCATTTTCACACGAGGGAGCAAGCCAACCTTGTCACTAAGGCCGCGGCAGCGGCGCAGCTTTTCCAGATGTTCGAAGGTTGGCCCGCCGCCCCCATCACCCTTGCCAAATACCAAGAGTGACGTGTTGTCGTTGTCCATTGACTTGTGCTGAGTCACGCTACGCTTCACGTCACCAAAGTGAGCGCTGGCAGTGTATGTCTCCGCTGGTGGCATGTGGCACATAACTTGGCTCCCATCGAGTGCAACCCAAAGGAATGTGGTGTGCGGGAAGTTATTGATATTGTTCCAGCTGAGCTTTTGGGTGAGGAAGCGACTCATGCCGGCCAGACGACAGATCTGAGGTATCTGCGTAGAGTAGCCAAAGGTATCCGGAAGCCAAAAGGTTGTACAGCGTTCTCCGAAGTTTCTCTCGAAGAAGCGTTGGCCATAGAGAAACTGCCTCACCAGCGACTCTCCGCTGGGCATATTGGTGTCATGCTCGACCCAGCTGCCACCGATGGGCTGGAAGTGACCCTTCTTAACCCACTGTTTAACGCGTTCAAAGACCGATGGATAGTATTGTTTCAGCCACTTGAACTGTTGTGCCTGGGAGCAAGCGAAGCGATGCTCCGGGTATCGGTCCATCAAATCACATTGATTTGACCAAGACCGGGCAACCTTACGCTTAGTTTCTGCCCAGGGCCACAACCAGCAAGTATCGATATGACAATGCCCAATAGCGTAAACGATGGGTTCTGTATCGGTATCATACACCTGCGAAGAATCCACCTTCTCCCCCAAGTACTTTTGGGCAATCTTGCGTGCCTCCTTGATTGATTCATTGCTGCCCTCCCCAGCAATGAACGCATCAATGATAGCATTACCGACCATATTGGCCTCGTGTGACTCCCAGCCATCGCCAGGGAATTCCCTGGCCGCATCTAGTGTACCAAGTCAGTGCGTATGGACAGGATGATTATCACCTCGCAGCTGGCAGGGGTATAAGCCGCCTATAGCTACTAGTCCGAACATACCTCCAATGATCCAAAAGTCATAGAACAACGCCCGTGCTTCTAGGTTGACAGCCGTAATCTGGGCTTTGTGCAATGTATAGTACTTGTTAGGATTGGGTGGCTGGATGGAATCTCCACCAGGCGCATTTCCAAACATGCCATTACATGCCATCTCGATGTAGAAGGTGTGCTCCTTCCCATCCCGCCAAGCATCGGGGATGATCCACTCGATACGCTCGTTGCCGCCAGTGAGACCTTGAAGGGGCCGACCATCTTCAGTCCAGACCAATCCCTCGTTGTTTGCATCCCAGTGGAACTCCAGACGTTCCTTTTTGCGCATATCCTCCGGGACTGTCAGGCGGATGCGGAACCAATGAGTAGACCAGCTTGGTCCGAACGATGCTCCGATACGGGTAGGTTTAAATTCATTGGCGGTAGCCTCTTTGAAGGTTGGGCGTTGGAGGTCAGGAACGGAGTATACTGAAAGCTTGACATGATCTTCATCATCGTTGACTGCCTCGTTCAGCTTGCTAGTAGAGCTTTAGTATAGTTCAGATGTGAAATAAACGATCGGAAAAATGAAGGAGGTGTACAGAGAAAACATTGGGGGATGAACTCACGATATGAGGTTTTGGCCTTCGTACTGTCCGGTGGCGGTGAATTGCTTGAGACGGTCGGTGTAGATGCTCTTGATGCGTTGACCGACAGGGCCCGCGGGAGTCTGGGGAAGGGCGCTGGGAGCTTGCCGGGGAACGTCTCCACCCATGGTAGCGGGTCTAGATCACAGTGGAAGAATCAGGGTAAATAGCTTTGATGCAACGAATGATAATTGTAAAGCATTTGATAAATACAAATGGATTGAACGATCGAGCGAGAAGGAAGTCTGTTCGAAGGATAGAAGAGGGGAAGTGAGGAGTCGCCAGGAACGGCCAGGAACACGACAGGGCAGGTGACATGACGTTGGATGCAGCGATTCCTGTGCTTATCCGGGGTGGCTGTTATGTCAGCCATTCCACTTGCCTTTTGCGGCAGACTGGAAAACAATGATTTTGTGAACGGTGATATTATTATCACGCTTGACCTGAAATATTAGAATTTCGGTGAGAGCAGTATATTGTTTTGTGAAGTCCAGTTGGGTTTGGATAGATGCCGACCGTGTGGTATGCCGTTTGAGACCAACTGTAGACATTCATCAACTTCAAAACGCCTGCTGACCATGCCGACCTTACGGAGGCTGTACAACGATGCGTTATCTATTTCTAGCCTTCTACCTACCGTAAACCGAGCTAACAGGTTTGTTTTCGACCAGAGCGAGTATGACGCTGCCGTGGTGAGTGGAGTCTTGCCTGCCCACTTCCAGCCATCGAAGTGCATACTTTTTGAGACCGATCAAATATACCGCGATAAGCTCTCATGTTCCAGGGACAATATTGATAGCCAGGCCGAGTCCATTGTCATTGTGTTTGACGACAGTGGCCGCTTGCTAGTTGAGTTCTGACGGAATTATAGCACATAGCACAGAGATACATATTGCCTCCTGCATCAAGGCTTTGCAGCAATTCTCAAATCGCTTTAGTAAGCCGTTGAGAAACCAATTCTTGAGTGTTAGGACCGTGCAATGCCTGCTTACTTCGATGGCAGTGTGACTGGGTTGCTGAGCAGAATTCAGGACAACTTGGGCCTTCCTCTTCGACTTGTCGAAATATCACAATGAGCCCTTGGCATCTGGGTACCTTCATCACAATTGGTCGACAAAATATCGAGCCCTAAGAAGACTAACAACGTAGCATGGGCTAGAATCCCAGGAAGGCTGGATAGTAAAGAGCACGAACAGTAGAATGCTTTTAGCGATGTCATAGGCAAAGGTCCAGGGTTAAGGATTATGGCATTATGCTTCGCCCATCCCTCGTGTGAATAAATCTGTTTTCATTGTCCCTTGAGCAAGTATGTTGTTCTTGGGGTGTGATCCAACTCTAGGATGGCCGTGGAGCGAGGTTCGGGTCAGTCTTTCTGCCCTCCAATAGGCTATAGCCATTGGCGTAAAAATTAGTGATGTAAATGCGGCATATGGATGTTTGCATCACTCGCCAATAGCAGTATCAGAGACCTGTTCCTCGGAGTCAATGTTGTTGTAATTGATTCTCCCAGTAATATAGTCGTATAAACCATCAACTACCAGCCATATCACATGATCATATAGTACATGGCCCTCCGGGTTCCCATTTCTGGAAACAATTTAAGGTTAAAACTGCACCCCACGCAGAAAAACAGCGGCTCTTGAACAGATAACTGGCTCAACTTGCCAATAACGGGGCCTCCTGACATGTATAAGAGCCTTTCACTGCGACATCGGTAACTGACTAATAATTATATTTGTCTTGCCGATGGCAGACATCCTCTTGAGTGACATCATGAACAAGCGGGGTTGTGAGGGATCTCCATTAGTCAGCCAGCTTGGGCAGCAGTCCAGTAGCGCTAAACCCGAAAAGGCCAACAAATTCCCGTGACAATTTCCCATGGCCAGCGAGCAGGGCAATAGCAACCCGGCCATAGTAATATGGGTGCGGGGCATTGGAGGGGAGAAATCTGCTAAAAATCACTCGGAGTTGCAGAGAACCTCACAGAAATTAAACTCGGTGACATCGACTTCCTAAAGGAGGAAACAAATCCCACCACCGCCATCGGACTATCACCTAGCTTTTTCCTCGGGGGTTGCAGGCGTGTGCCTCGATTTGTAATCCCCCATCATCAGATAACCCCAAAAATTCGCTGATAACTGTCAAACACAATCTCTGCCACTTTCCCCGCCACCCAATCACAACGCCGTCAGATGACAATTGAGTCAGCCAGACGAAACCCAAAACGAGCATCCGATCACGGCCACTGATCACTTTTGAACCTCAAGTTTCACTTCCTTCTATTTATTTCCCAACTATCTCCTCTCCCTTCTCCCTCCACCGACGAATTCGCAGGTAGACCGACACAATGGCTCCCTCGTTCGTAACCATCGACACAACGCCTGATTTCGACATGGCACCCGCCCCCTCCTTCCAGCCCATGTCGACCGGCAGCCCCTCCAAGCGCACTCTCCTCCTCGCGCCCCCCTCCATCGCCACCCAAGAAGAGAAGCTTCGGGACCTCTTCACTGCCTTTGACCGCTCCACAACCGATCTGCAGATGCTTGACCGCATATCTGCCGGCTTCGTCTCCCTGCCCGCCAACACCTACGATCACATTCTTGTCCTAACCGATACCGATGGCACGCGGCGGTCGGAGGCCCTCCACCTGCTCACGCGGGATGTCTACACCGCGTTGGTTCCCTGCATGAAGGCCGGAGCGAAGCTACAGACTCAGGATAACTTTTTCGGAGAGGCTGAGGAGCGCGAGGCGGTCCTGGCGGGTCTGATCAAGACCGATGCCGGATTTGAGAAGATGGATCAACCCAAGTCGTTCGCAATTCCTCTGCGACGCAATGGGAAGAAGAAGGATGCTGCGAAGACAGAGACATTTGCTCCTGCTCCTGCTCCTGCCCCGCCCGTGCAGCCTGTCACCGTGGGCATGATTAATAATGACGACGATTACGAGAACGATGATGATCTGATTGACGAGGATACACTGCTGTCGGATGAGGATCTGAAGAGACCTATTCAACGTGAGTTTCATTCCAAAATTTTTTCTAGAAAAAAATTGTCATGAAATCGGAGCCATGCTAACAATGCATGCATACACAGCTCCCGAATGCCAGCCCAAGCCCGGCCGCCGGCGTCGCGCCTGCAAGGACTGCACGTGCGGACTCGCAGCACGACTCGAGGCAGAGGAGCAAGCAGAGCGAGAGAAGGCAGACAAGGCTCTGAACGTGATGAAGCTGGAGACGGAGGACTTGAACGAGCTGGACTTTACCGTGCAAGGCAAGACAGGCTCGTGTGGAAACTGCGCCCTGGGTGATGCCTTCCGGTGCGCGGGCTGTCCGTTCATCGGACTGCCGGCATTCAAGCCGGGCCAGGAGGTGCAGATCCTGGAAAATGTTGCGCAGTTGTGAAAGTTTTCTTTTCAGTTATTGGTCAGGTCGGGTCTCTATCTTTTCGGTTCCTTGTGGGTTGGATCGGTTGGTTTGCTTGGACAGGCGATGGTTGGGCGCAGGATAAAATAGAATACCTTATCTTAGTTTAGCCTTTTTATTTATCATGACCTAGCTCTATGGAGTACATAGGGTTGCATTTAGGAATATCAATGACCTACTAATCGTTCGTTCCTATTGATCAATTATCTCAACAACACACACACCGTATAACGCTGCCCATGTTGCTGTGCAGTGTCAGTATACTACAGGGCCGCATTCTCAATCCAGCAATCTACGTTATATAATGCGATCGAAAGAGGCCCAAAGAATTAAGACACAGACACAGCACAAAGACCAAAACACATTGAAATTTCACACATCTTATCTCATACTCCCTACCTAATCCTACACCATACACAAATCCCGACACCCCATCCACCACCCATAACAAACACTAATCAATAGAGAATCAATATCAATGAAGGCAACACAAGCCCACCAACTCAGTAAACAACCAAAAGTCACACAGCATTATCCATCCCTAGATTACGATCTATAATACCCTCTACTATGATCTCACAAAATAATATCTTATCCACCAAGCAGATCGTACTATAGCCAAAAGGAGTAAATCGAAGCAAGGTTCAATATGCACAGCTATCGTACAATTTATCCACCCACCCACACACACATGTTTACATCCACAGATACAGCTAAGTCACGATGACCTGACCCCTAATTTAGACTACGGAGAAATGATCCAGGTAGATTGATTTCATCGGTGGTATGATGTTTCATTTGCTAACAATGTCTATGGCTGATCAAAGGATATAGATATTGTGTTTAGATTCATACTAGGGATGAAAGACAGGGCAAGGGTTAGATAGGATAAGGGGGAGGGGAGAGAGACATTTGATCCAGGAGAATTTCTGGGACAGATCATGTGCTGTTGCTGCATATGCAGGTATTGGAGATGGATCGGTAAGGGGGGGAGGGTCATTGGGATGATGCACGTGTTCTATTATCTTATGGGTTGCATTCTTCTGGGTGGGGTGGGTGTTAGTATTCAGTTACTGCGATTATTGGGTGATTAGTTGGGCTGTTTCGGGTTGTAGATGGTAAGATTTGATATTGGGTCATTATAAGCTAGTATCCTCAATGTAATGGATCAAAAAGTGAAGTAGCTATAGATAAGCATCTATAGGTGTATCCCCAACGCCAAGCAGAGACCCTGAAAATGCCAACGGGATATCACGGTAATGACTAGAGCTGCAGGACAAGACGAGAGTTATAGGACGTAGAGAGTGACCGGGAATAGAGACAGGCTAATTGGATAACATGGACCATGAAGCGAATGGGATATCATGAACATAGAAAGGAAACGAGACGAAACGAGAAATGAAAGTTGGAGAGAGACAGTGAGCCCTTCGTTCTAAATCCAGGGATCGGTCTGTCTGTAATTGTTGTTATATGGACTGACCGGTCCAACCAGTCGAATCTGTGACTTCAGCTCTGTGTGCCGTCGATCGCCGCGCACCCCGATCATCTTCTTCCTGGCGCCGTCAAGGGCGTCGAGGATATGATGCGTGCCATCTTGAATGGCTCGGACGCAGTCCCGAGTGTTCTGCTGGAGTTGAGACCGGGCGGGTGGCGTCAGGGGTGGCGTTGCGGAGGACACAAAGCCCTTCTTTGATGAGCCTCGTTTCCGATAGCGGGGAAACCGGACGTTATGGCTCTGTCGGTAACTGATTCGCTTCTCGCGACCTGGCTTCTCCCAGATCGCAGCACCGTACTTCTGATACGGCGACATAGGCACTGCCAGCTGCTTCTTCCGTTGGGACGCATGGGGTCGCGGGTGCGGCCCGCGCGCACCCATGGTTGAGCGAGTGGACATGCGCGATAGGCGTTTATTCGAGGGTAAGACATCCACTGGGCTTAGAGGGGACTTTGGGCTTCCAGGATGATAAATCTCGTCGGTTGTGGTGATCTTGCTCGATGGAGTGGGGGTGCGCACAGGATCCACTGAATCTGCTGTGGGGGGTGAGGACCGACTACTCTTGTTTCGTTCCAGCGAATTTTTCGACAACCGTCGTTGCACGTAGGAGCGAATAGAATTGCGCACATCCTGAGCAAGAGCTCGTCCACTCCGATCCGATGAGTTCAAAAGGGTGCGGCTTTTGGTGAAGTCAAACACGGTGAGGTTCAGTTTACTGCCGTTCTTTTTGCGGGGGTGAGTTGGAAAACGCGGGGATGTCGGGAGAGCCGACGGAGTAGCCAGCTCAGGGAAGAAATCCCATTTCTTCTCCCGGAAGTAGTGGTTGGGGCCAGCCCGGTTGGTGACCCAGGGTTGGGCCCGGTCGGAGTGGTCATCGTGGAGGAAGGTGGTGGTGATGGCGAAGGGTGCGGACTTTGGATGGTCATTGTGGTGGTGGTGGTGATGGTGATGGTCGTCGTGCTGGTACGGGTCGATGGGCCCGGCAGTGGGTGGATGATCGACAAGCTCGGACAGATCGTCCGAACCAGAGCGGACAAAAACAGGGTAACTCTCGGACGAATCCGCCGAAAAGCGTCGGCTGTCATCGTAGAAGCTAGAGATGGTACTACTGTCATCGCTCCATGCAGTGGAGCCCTCATCCATCGACGGGGTCTCAGGCAGTGGCTTGGGGGGCAGCTCAGGGAGCGGCTTATCAATATGTCGCAATGCCGGGCGAGCGGGGGGCACTGGCACTCGAGGAGGGACGACTTGCTCCAGCCCCTCCAGGGACCGAGAGGGCCTCACTGGAGGGGCCTGTCTAGGAAGTGCCAACGAGGACGGAGAAAGCATGACGATATGCTGAAAGTAGATGAGGGGGAGGTTGGCAGTGGGGAGAGATATTCCCGTGGCTCGAGCCAGGAACTGGGAAGTATATCGTTCGCAGTGGTAGGAGATAGTTTATAGAGTTGACACGAAGGGAGGGAAGGGGTGTCTCAAAAGACCTTTCCCCCTCCTGAAGGATGGGGGGAAAGAAAGAGGAGAGAACGTGGCAAGGGAAAGACAAGCAGAACCAAGAAGCAGAAGGAGTGAAGAGAAAGAAGCCGAAGTACGAGAAAGTATAACTTGTGAAAGGCACCAGCCGGGGGGAAATTGGGCCCGATTGGGATGTTCTCCGTTGGCGAAGTACCAATATTGTGACCCGAACACGGCCAGCGTTGTTGCTTTTTCGACTTTGCTCGCCAGTCGCCGGCCTTGATGCGATTTTAACCTTTTTTTGGCGTCCAGGATGACAGGCCAGCAAGCAGGCAAGCAAACAATCACACGACCGTCACCCGTGCAAGTCAGCCTGTAGCCACTGTCTTTATCCGGCAGTGTAGAGATAAAGAACCCGCCGGGACCATGGTTCAGCAAGAAGAGAACGAGGGGGGAAGTAAAGGAATGGGGATGGACGAAGGGGAGAAGGGAGAAGAAGAGGGAGAGGAAAGGGAGATGATGGGATGGAGTGAAAGGGAGATGGGTTTAATAATAATAATAATCATTATCAGAGGAAGAAGGAAGAGGAGAACGAGGCCGACGACAAGAACTCAGCAGCGGATGTGATGGGATCCATCAGGGAGGGTCGCCATATGCAGCTCGTCAAGCTCCGTCTGGCTGGTCCGGCCGTTCATCCCTAGATCCCAAGGAGTTTGGGGCGCAGTCCATGTGTAAAAATTGGGAAAATCAGAAAAAAATAATGAAACCAAACAAAATAAAATAAATATTTAAAAAAGCAAAAAAACAAAAAGCGACATATCTCAAGGGCAGTTCCTGGTCGGACTGCAGGATGGGATCGTCGTGGTCATCATCATGGGCGGGAATAGCCTCATGAGAGTGACACCCTCATGCAAGGGATGGACCGGGGGGTGGTGTATGTGGTGTGTATGTGGTGTGGGTGGGCTTGCTGAGGGGCGCGCCATTAGGGTGATTTCCGTTCAATTTTCGTCTACAATTACCGGGATTCTGGTTCTAGCTCTCGATAGAATATTGGTTGAAGGATTTGAAAGGGAGAAGACTAGAAAACCCATTGACACCGAGACAGACATGGGAAGATCCAGACATTGATGGATGGGGAAAAGATCTGGTTAGGGCCGGGGAAGAATACGAAGCGCAACCACCAACAACTCTGAAGTCACCGAGTGATCCCAGCTTACTTGCTGATGGCTGATTGCTGAACCCCGGAAGTCGATCCTTTCCGCCAGCCAGAATGGATCTGAATGGTTCATGAGGGTTATTCTTGGTTATTCTTAGTTGGATCATCAACTAATCGACTCACTAAACAAACTAGTCGCGCTGGTCGTTGCCAGTCAAACAAAGCAAGCTGGACGCCGCTTATCCCTGGTTGCCCTCCTCCACAGCCTTCAGCCTTTCAGCTCGCACTCTTTCTTACTCTTCTCGTTTATTTACTTTACTGCTCGGCTATCTAACTTCTGGCATTTCACGTTGCTTACTCTTCTATCCCTGCACTCAATTGAACTTAATTCCGCAATGGTGGCTTAACTATTCGGCGTGTCCCCAGCCTTTCGACTGAGAAGATAAAAAAGAAATTGAAAAAAAGAAAAAAAAGTCTCCATAGAAAAGTGACAGACATACAATACAGTAGGGAAGAAAAAAAAAACCAGATAGATCATATTGCGGTATGGAGATCGCCTTTGACAGACCTCTTCCCTTTGCTTCTGTCCCTCTTCTCTGCACGCTTAGCGTGGCCTAGTTTCCTTAGTCGCGTTGACTTACTCCCCTAGCTGCTTCTCCTCTTTCTTGCTTTGACATGCTTTCTTTTTCTTCCCCTTAGTTTGCAAGGTACATATACTATACTATATGACAGGTAACACAGATAGTTTATCCAGCATGACATTCTTCTGGCTTCACCACAGGCAAGAATGATCAGTGTCGGTATTCCCCTTCTCTCTTCTGAGCAGATGGACGGCAACCAACCGACACATGACGCCTCGCATTTCCCAGAACATCCATCTGGCCCTCAGCCACACTACTCTTTAGCAAGGAAATTACTGCCGATGAGGTAAATCTGGAGTCATTTCCTCTATGACAGGTCCATCCAGTGAGAACACGTGCTTCAGGCCGGTCTCGCTCTCAGCATTCCTTGGATAGGTCATCCCCAGCGTCTCACAGTCCACGCCGCGATACGCCTCGTTCCTCCCATCCTCCACTGTTCGTTCCCTCCGCTCGGGATACTGCTGCGTGGTCACGCTAGATAGCCCCATCGGAGTCTAGGCAACTATCCTGATGGCCCCCATTCGACCGGAGATGGCCCAGAGGACGCCAAAACAGCAGCTCCACAGTCGCCCGTCGCGACAGAGATATTGGGCACCTGAACGGTGCGACGGACCCGGGCGGGTATAGCTCGGACACAATCGAATCGTGGTGCAGCTGAGCCTGAGGGGAGCTGATCACTGATTAGACGGTGGAGATGGCTAGAGGCTGGCTGTCGCGGTACGCGCTGACTATGCTATCTCAGCAGCTCCACAGAGACGACAACTCAGTCGATTGATCCGATCCAGCAATAAGCATGAGCTCATGATGAGGCAAGAGAGAATGCACGAAGACGCGAGTTTTCTGGAATCGTTCAAGCTTAGAGGCGGAGTGGGGCCTCTAAGATCAGGCTATCCACCGCCAGCATTCAAGATAGCGGCCCAGCATTCCACTCACGGGCATACCCGACCCGTTTCAGATCACTGTCGGATTGAGGCTGGTCCCATGGCAGCCAAGCCATGTTGCTGCAGGCAATGCGAGCCAATCAGTGTCAGTGGTTAGCTGACAGCCTTTCCATTGTACCTCCGATATTGCAGGTTTCGCGCGAATGCCCATTCTCGGGAATACGGAAGTCTTGCTTTCATTTCCTAAGACTAGCACTGCTGGCAAAGCTTGCTCATGGGCCAATCTCCACCACCAGCAATGAGAGATTAATGACGCTAGTATTGTTGTACGGGATGTCTTACTCTCATCCGCGTTAGGCGAGCAGACAAGGTTTGGCAAGCATGGCATTCTTAACCCTAATACACTCTCCATGAGACGTTCCGCACTAGTAGCTTTTCCAGAGACTCATGTGGCTGGCGGCAAGTGAGAACATGAAAACATAATGGATTTTGAGTGACATTTCATCACGGGCATGCCAGACGGTCCGATGGTCCATTGAGGTCGGGCCAGTATTGAAAGTATGGAGGAGTAACTGTATTACTTTGGGCCTTGGTCACGATTGAAATCAGGCTGACTTAAGACCCTCACTGTAAAACCAAGCGGCTGATTGTGAGAATAACCTGGCATTGGCTGTAGTATTCCAGCATTGTAGTACACATTAATCGCCGCCTGGAACTGCTTGAGCCCCTGCCAGACAGGTCGACGCATGCTAGGACCAAGAATGCGAGCTACAGTATCAAAGCCAATCGAGCTGGTCCCATGAGCGAGCAGACCTGCCCACGTGCAGCAGTAGCCCCAGGCAAACATCGAAGTCAACATGTCTTCTTTATCACCTCACGCGAAGTGCTGGCATATCTCTTCTCATCAGTCTTGTATCTTAAAGAAGAATCACTGACAATTTCCCTTCCGCTATTCCCTCACCTGAAGCGATGACATCTCATCCCAGGTCAATATCATTACACCAATCACGAAACGACCCAGAGAGTAGTGCACCATCTCCACTGACCAAATCACAATGAAGCGCAAACCACACACAAGCTATCCATCCTCTCCCAATATACCCACATCTACACCTAAAAGTCTCGCTCATAGATACTCAAATCCAACCTTGACTCTACCAGAATATGCTCATCAGACACAGACACCTCTGTCAACCATCCATCACCACTCCACCCCTCCCTGTAATCATACATCAACTAAATAGTCCGAATCAAAACCGATCAGCCACTCAACATCAACCTGCATACGCACACTCCACGGTGACAAATCCCCTCCGTGTTGCATCCATCTTGTGCAACCAACAAATGAAACTTACCAAACATACATTCGGAAATAAGTATCAATCATAACATGGGGAATTAACTAACTGCATAGCGGTTTTAACCGATAGGTATGATTGCAAGATGTACGACATCGGTTGCGTTATGCATGCGTGTGGTGGGATGTCATCACAACGATTGCAAATACCCAAGCATTGCCTAGCGCTGTCCGGACGGGCATCTGCAGCAGGCAAATGGGGTATCAATGGGCAATCAAGGAGGAGATAAGCTGCCGAGCATGGAATGGCATTGATGTCTTGTCTGAATGTGTGAGGGGCCTGTAACTATCTCAGGGGCTGTGTGCTGATATGGTTGTGGTTGAGCCAGTGATGCTGGACTCGCGTGGTGATGTTCCACGGGAGTTGTGCAAGAGGTACATATGTATCTTCTATATGTTTAGTTCGGACTTGCTTGAGTTGTGATTAGACTTAAGTGTCGACGTATCAATGGGTCTCTAATATGAGGCTATCAACGCAGCATCTACTCCAACACATCCAGATAAGTAAGTATCAACTAAGTTTAGCCGCCATCTCCATATCCCGCCTCGTCAACTGATCCCCTGTCCTCCGGATCGGACTTAACCGGCCCATCTTCCGCAACTTCTCAATGATCGCCTCATCCCCAAAGTGGCTATTGTGCTCAAATTCGGGCTCTTCGGCGTACGCGACCCGCGCCACATCAACCAACATCCGCGCCGTCATCCCAAACACCCGGTACCGAGTAACTTGAGAGGCCTTCTCCTGCTCCTCCAACCGACTAACCGCCTCTTTCTGTTCTTCTGTCCTTGTCTTCGGCTTAACCACCTCTTTAGGCCGCACCGGGACGAAAAATTGATGCACTATTCCTAGTCAGCCACCACCATCACCACCATTTTCACCATAATACAGCCAATAAACAAACAAACAAAAAAAAGAAAATGATACTTACTCCTCCAATCCTCCTGATGCCACTCCGTCCAAGCCCCCTTATACCAATCCGTCGGATCCCCATCACCCCAGTCCTCCATATCCCTACAGCTCAAGAAATTACGAAACGGCGCCGTAAACACAGCCGCGACTTCGCGCGGATCCAGCCTCGGGATCAGCGAGACCTCGGGATCGGCATTCTCACCAGTCCGCTCATCAAATGAATGCAGTAGCGCCACACATGGCCGAACGACTAGTTCCGTTCGCGCTAGGTTGGCTGGGAACTCACAGAGATGCTCGACCGTGAAGGGCCGAGGTAGGTGCTCGTCGTGTTCGGGGAGGCCGATTTCTTCTTTTGCTTCGCGGCGCGCGGTTTGGATGGGCGTTTCGGATAGAGAGTCGGCGCGGCCTGGGTTTCTGTGTATTAGTTTGATATCATTATGATATAGCATATAGCATGTTGCTACGGTATATCATAAGTAGATATCTATCATCGTACGTAGCACACACACACTTCCACCCCCTCGAGAGATGGCTGTGCCATGCGAGAATAGAAAGGAGTGGAAGGAGAGACAGAGAACTTACCACCCGGTAAAGCAGCCTGTCCGGCATCTGCCATATCATAATCACAATTAGCCACACTGTACATAGCTCACTCCACCTACGACACGAAAAAGCAAGCTATTACTAAAGGAAAAGGGTACGTAGGTATACATACAAGACCTCAACGTCGCCGCCCTCATCGTCAACACAACCCTCAAGTCCCCCTTCTGGTCCGCATACAGCAGCACCAGTACCGCGGCGCGCCTTGACAACGGCACCGAGGTATAGGTTGTTGGCGGGGGAGTGTATTTTCTTAATCTGGCAATGGCTTTCTGCGATTTACATTGTTAGTTAAGTACTAAGGTAGTATTCAATATGCTTATAGAGTGGCTTGGCTATTTTCGGTTGATTGTTGGATATTAATTGGGTGTTACGTCATTTGAATTTGGGGTGGGGGGCAAGTGGTGTATTGTGCAAATGACAGGAAATATAAAATTATGGGTAATATAAATTGTAGGATTCTGTACCTGGGATGTTGGATTTAGAGGGGGCATGGTAGTGGTAGTAGTGATATTTGCGATGTTGCGAGTGTGACTGGTGAAGGGGCGAGGGAAAATGATCCGGGAAGAGTAGAATTGGCGCTGCAGTATGTGATGATGCCGGTGATGGAGGAGGAGAGGGTTTCGCATTGCAAACAATGAACAGGGGAGGAAGAGAAGAGAAGAAATGTAAGGGGGATGGATTAAATAGTTGGTTTATTCATCGATTGGCTAGTTCGTTACTTGGCCATGTGTTGATGCAGGATTGATACTTTAGTTGGTTTGGTGGAGGTACGGACGGAGTAAAGTCACTTGATAGAGTTATCGGGTTTGTTGCCGAGGTACTTACGGAGGAGCCGCTGACTCTGGAGTTAAATACCCGATGGGTTGAATGATCAGGATCTCATCCAGTAGGAATATTTGGTAAGATTAAGGTAATATCAATTAATATCCATGTCATATTTTTGTCCAGATCAACCGTCCAAGTCGACTAAGTATCTATTTCAGTATCGGTACGTCACAAAGAAGACTGGTTTAAAAGGATATAAGAGATCCAACCTCGATGGTGTCCAACCACGGATCCCAGAAAACAAACAAGAATGAAACGAATAAATAAACAAACAAGCGAACAGAGTCTATCGTATACACACTAACACATGGGAAGAAAAAGAAAGGGAGAGAAAGTAGAGAGTATAGGCGTAGGGATCAAGAGGGGAAAAGAGATCTATGTCACGGTTCATCAACGCGGTATAAACGCCCTGTCGAAGAAAAAAGAGAAGGAAGGTTGCGATTATTTCTTCTCTTCCTTAGCCTGGGTAGACTGTTGTGCCTCCTCAGCTTTCTCGCCCTCCTGGACGGCTTCGTTGGCCTCACCCGCTTGCGTCTTGTACTTGGCTTCGTACTTGACGTCATCCTTGTCATCGATATCCTCGATGTCCTTGGGGGCAGAGACGCCCTTCTCCTCGTTCTCGCTGTTCTGCTCGTTCTCCTCCTCGATCAGCTCTTGCTGCTCCTTGATGACCTCCAGACGCTGCTTGTTGGTGGCGGCACCTTCGGCGTTGTGAACCTCGAGCTCGATCTCGTGGAAGAGCTCCTCAGGAATGCTAGACAAGACGGACTGGAGAGCCTCGATCTGGGACGACATCTCGGCTTCCTTGCCACCCTGGGCGTAGACGTATGCGTTGCTCAGCACAAGAAGGGTCGAGGGGACGCCCTGCTTGAGACGCAGGTCCAGCCACATCGACATGTCCTCGCGCAGGCGAGCAGGAGACACACCGTGCGTGCGGATACCACGGGAGGCACATGCCATCTGCAGTTCAGGAACAGACAGAGACTCCACACCCTCGTGGAAAATGGCGCGGTCGTCGCGCTTAATCTGGCGCATGCGGTGGCGGATGTTGTACCGAAGCATGGCGTCCGTTCCGAAAGAGTTGAGGTTCATGTACTTGCAGATACCCACCAGCTGGGGCCGGGACAGGTTGTCGAGCGTCAGGTCATCCTTGAAGATCTTGCACACCTTGATCACGTCGTCAGGAGTGGGCGATTCTCCCGTGGTGCGGATCTTCTTGAAGAATTCGGCAAACTCTTCGTTCTTCACGGTCGCAGCAGTGACCGGGAGACCAGACTCCCTCAGTGTGTTCTTCAGGAAACCCGAAACCTCCTTACGCGTCGAGCTCAGACTCAGCGCCTTCTTCTCGCGCGCCTTCTGGCCCTCGTAGGTGCTAGGCAGCATGTTCGGGAACAGCTTCAGGGCAATGGGAAGCAGCAGTTCCGCGAAGGGGATGATAACGAACATGGAGAAAGGAACAAGGCGACCCAAATCCTTGACGGTTCTTTGGAGCTACACACATAGACATCATTAGCGAAGATCAATTAAGCGTATCCCATGCGGACTTTACTAACCTGACGGTGCTCTCTGCGACTGAGTTCATAGCCTGCAGCCATCTTCAATGCCAGCCTGGAACTGATTCTGACTTCCGTAGCAAGAAGCTTGGTACCATCCCAGTAGTGCTGAGCTTCCTTCTTGATCTTTTGTCCGATTGTCAGTTTCTTCGTCTCCTTCTTTTCCTCCTTCTTGCCATCAAGATCCGCGGACTTTGCCGTCGTCAGCTCTGCCGACTTTCCATTGTTCTGCGCAGCAATTTGAGACGAAATGGACTGCCCAGAATTGGGTGTGACCTTCTGGACATCCTTGGAGGGCTGCACGGTGTCCGGGGGGAGGGGCTTCTTGGCCTGTTCTGCGTTGAAGCCCGGAGGGGGGAACGAATTTGAGGAAGAGGAGGAAGAGGTCGATGGATCAGTGGCATATCCGCGCTGCTGAGGGACTAGAATGGCGATTGCCGACAGTTGGGATGGCAGACCTCTGCCGTTGAATCGGAGGTTTGCGGCCGTAGACGCAGCCAAGGCACCGGAAAGTCGTTGCCGGGCTGCATGCGAATATCGGGTTAGCGATCGAGCAGTTGAAGTCGAAGCCTTCTGGGGACTCAGATAGACGAGTGATTCCAGGTCAACTTACCGAGCATATTAGGCCGCAATACTGCATTGCCGCGCACAAGGCTAGCTGACCTCATTGTAACGGACATTGCGGAAACCTAGGGGATCGAGATGCTCGGAAGATCGAGCGAATGCAGACGGATGCACAACAATACGGAACCAAATGCGGGACGTGACTTTGAATGGGACACACTGAGGAGAAAGATAAAAAAGGAATCGGAAATTACAAAAGTAAGACGAGGTGCTGTCGTAGTGTCGTTCGTCCCCCGAGAGTCTGGGAGCAGAGGTGGCTACCCACGTGACTGCGGCGACGTCGGACTTAAGGTTTGATCGCCGCCGAACGCAAAGTGCGAGTCCGGCCGGCTTCGCTACTGGAAGCTTCTGACTCCCGATTTCACCCCCATTGTGACTCAGTTCATTTCCCCAACTAACCCACTAGTTAACTATCCACATCTTCATGTCATTAATTCTCATGTAAAGAGCATATCGTAATTACAGGCCATATCAATCATCACGCAAGTCTAAGTATCCAACCATACGGTGTCAGAAATTAAAAAGCAGAAAATGCAGCACAGGACAGGCCAGAAAGTAAGGAATGATAACAGATGGAAGCTGGGTATCAACGAGAATGGGTTCCGATCTGGTCGGATCCACAAGTCAAAGCTATAGGCAAGAATCAAGACTCCTGAACGAACCAAAGGGAGCATTGTGTAAGGCGCTTCATGTAACGATCGTCTCAAGACCTTTCCCGGACCCCAGAGTTGTCGGCGGCATGGCCGCTCTCTACACCAGTCGACTGGGCATCAAGAAGAGGGATCTGGTCAACGCCGACTTTGTCGGATCCGCCACTAGCCGATTCCTCAAGGCCCTTGGCCCCGACTGTCGCAGTATTGTCAGAAGACAGAAGCGTCGGGCTCGCGACTCCTTCTGGGGACGATTGCCAGCGAGCGACGTCCCTCTTCAGCTCTTCCAATTCCTTCTGGAAGCGCTTGCCGAAGACGTCAATATAGTATGTCGCGCCATTGTGAACGCTGAGAATGAAAAGACCGGTGAGGAAAATACCGCTCGCCCACCGAGACCAAAACCACAGAGGGCAGGGAATCATGGTCAATATCGCGTACAAATACTGAATCATCATAAAAGCCGGAGCTTGGAGCGATTCGGGCAGGCTCAAAACGACCTTGCCGATCCAGGTCTTGGCATAAGACTTGCGGAGCCAAGTGAAGCTGGTCGGACGTCCTGCAGCAATTTTCTCGGCACGACGAACAGTGATAAAGCAGTGATACGTCAACTGCCAAATTAGGTAAGGGACGGTTGCCCAACCCATCATCTCCAGGAGGTTGAAGTGATTGGGCGAACCCGGTTCGCTGAACTTGATCTCGTAGACTGCCGGGAATCGTTCTCGCAGCGTCTCCGCTGACGTCATATGGACAAGACAATGCAAGGAAACGGGTGGCATGATGTGGATAAAGAGACTACCCTCAAGTCAATGGTTATTCAGAATGGCATCATAATAATGAAACTTACCTGACCACCTTGTCCATACTGTGGAAAACCATCGAATTGCGCCACATGGCAATTGCAACGGCGTTGTTGCCGAATACTAGGCAGAAGGTGCTGATAAACAGCCTCTTCGACCCCGGGAAAACCCAGAGGCTAAGCATACAGAGCACATTCACAAAGTAGCAGAGATCAGCCAAAAAATAATGATAGCCCTTTTTGTGATACCGGTAGTATCTGATAGGCATGAAGTAGGCCAACTGCACGCTGAACCAAATGTAGAAGTATTCCGGGAACCCTCCAAGAAGGTAGCCGCTCACAAGGATGTTCATGACACCAGCGATGAAGGAGATTTTCTCACGCAGTGTGACGGTTGCGGTAGCGTTCCATTGTTTGCCCAGTCGTTCTACGCCATCTTTCATGCGACGGCGGTACTTGTCTAGCTGTTCATCGGCTGTTGGAATCCGTCTCTTCCATTCGCCCACAACACGTTCCTTCGCGTTGATCGAAGTGGACTTGAGCTTCTCGCGTTGTCTCTTGACTTTGTCCTTTTGCGCGTTGAGTGCCCGCTGCAGCCTTTCCAGCCTCTGTGACAGCGAGAGGTTATCAAGCAGGTCGAACACCGTCAGTTGGTCGAGAGGCGGAAATGTCTCCCAGTCATCATGGTACGAGAAGGATGGGTTGCGCGACAGACGGCCCGGCGAGGCAGGCGGCGAGTAGAAGGTATCAGGCGAGTTTAGCGTCTCTTCCGTTTCAGAGAGATCGTAGACCGTGGTGGGTTGCAAAGCAGGCGAGCTACTGCTAGCCACGGACTCTGGCTTTCTCGCATCATAGGAGCCACCGTCTTCCATGATGAGCCTTTGCTGGAAGGAAAATATCGTGGGGCCGTCACGGGAGTGTGGATAAGGCCGGCTGAGGAAGCGTCCTATAGTCAGCATCCCCATGTTGTTTAGAGTAGGTAAATAGCCAAGCTTGGACTAAGAAGGACCGGTGCTGCACTCGGGCAGATCAAGGTAGGGTAGATCAAAGGGCGAGTGTTGGGATAAGGAAAACAGAGCAAGTAATTCAAAACGGATGCGGATTCCTTATCAATCTAAGGCATGGCGGACGAATCCGTGGGTGACTTACAAACAAATGCGGCGAGTGATACTGTATTCAAACCCAAGGATGGAGTTCGGAGGACTGAGTTTTTGGACGATAAAGCGTAGCCAGTGTGCTTCAACGCTCAGAGCGCATGACCCTAGAAGTCGGGGAGCAGATGGAAAGAGATGCAGGTAGGTGAGAGCAAGTTGGAAGGTTGAGGTTCTCCGTGTGCACGCGTTGGAGCTTGTGGTTGGCTGTCGCTGACTTGTCGCGACTTTGCCGTTCCAGACCGGCGATCATGTATCCTGACCCACTTGCGGAGTGCTGCCACCAATGGCAGGCCGTGACTCTCTCCACATGATTTGCCCCCATTGGATCCCATGGTTCACTTGTCCCGTTGCGAGGCTTAGGTTCCATGCCTCAGGCGGTTTCCATGCTATCTGGGGCATCTTCAAGGGTCTCGGGCATTTCACTCTCTGCGCATTTTACTATATACAGTACACTCTCACTATTACTCTGACTACTAGTTAGCCGTACCTAGCATCTGCTAACCTTTCCACACATATTGATCATCTGTGCTCGATTTATGATCGACTGGACATTCAAGTACAAGTAAACCAATGTCTTTCATTAGGACATCTAATTGCTCTACTGCAACTATGATTGTTGGGAACTTGTTCCTGTCGGCATCTGAACCCAAGTGCTTCTGTTACTGCTGCAACCAGTAGTGGCGAAGACCTCATGGGCCCTTTCGAGAGCCCCCGGTCTCCTGGAAATTATTACTCCTTTCGGAATACGCATCAAGCAGGGAGTAAGGTACCTAACACACCCTGTTATGTCTCGCATCATTGGCCACTAGTCATTACGATGTATTATGCCGTGTCTATCCAGCTGTGGATATAGCGATGCTGACTCGGCTCTTGATCAAACCACCAGGGACGTGTCTGGCGTCATACATACTTTGTGTATAAAGGACTGGGATCCGTCCGTGCAGGTGCTGCAGATTACCCTCGCGGCCATTTGAACACTTGGCAGCTGCTGTCCTACCCCACTAAGTGCAGGATAAATCTCTCAGTAGCAAATATTGTTATCTTAAATAACAAGCTGCTAAAGGAACTTGCAGACCATGGAAGATAAATGGCTGATTCCAGGGTCATTATCAACTAAACCTCAATGGTTGCTTATAAGTTGTATCAAAGTATAGTTATTGTTTTTCAATCTATTAGATTGTCTGGTCATTAAGCCTCGCTTTAGTCACATTTTGCGAGCGGGGTACAGTATACAGTTTGTGTGTGTATATCGACACTAGCCCTTGCTGAGGGCGATATACCGGGTACCACTATCTATAACCTCAATGTACATTCATTTGCTCCAAACTGTTGCTTCATGACAAACTAAACTTCGCGAAGGCCTGTATCAATCAATACCTTGGGGTAGTGTACCACGGCCCTCGTGGGGCGCGGCTTCGAAATCTGTGTAACGTCTCCGTCAAATTTAAGACTGCACCAAAAAAACCAGTGCCTTGCGAAAACTGGTTACTATCCTACATTCCTCATCATTCTGACCCTATCCCAAGATGAACAATATGTCATCGAAAAGCAGCCCCCAATCTTTTCCCACATTTCCTGACAAGATTGTCGTAAAGTTGGACAATCAAGATCACATGGGTCACGGTCTCTTTCGCTCCGCACTCGCATCTGCCATATCTTGCCGGCCACGTACTACTTTGCGGTATAAGCATGACGAGCAGGCGGCAACTTATATATAGTATCAGCCAATATTTAGTATTTAAACATCCTCAGCGGCACAAGAACCTTGCTCTTATACCCCCTTATGCAAACACCAGATTATCTAAGGATATATAAAAATGTTAGTGGAAAGATATGGCGATCCAACGCCTCGGGAGCAGCCGAACCTTGAGTCATTCGAGCCAGAGGGGGATCTTATTTTGGCTGTTAAGTTGAAGGTAGGGGCAGTCGACAGTTCCGACTTGTGTTGTACAAGATCCTTCGCCTAGCATCGCCAGTATTTACGAAGTCACTGAGCCCAGAATTTCGCGAGGGAATGCGGAATAGAAGAGTCTCACTGCCCTATAATCACTCATCATGATGACGATTCAGTTTGCATGGAGACTATCCTTAATGCTCTCCATTATCAGGAAGAAGAGAATTAGATGAATGCTTTGCCCAACTTTGGCTCAACTTCTCTAGTGCTTTGCTCTTCCCTCAACATCCATTCATTCAGTTTTTAAAGCACATTTTGCGCGACCATTACAGACTTCGGTTCTGCCCAAGTTTTGCTCGACTATGTTAAATCTTCACACCTATGACTACATTTTGCCCTCTCTGCTTTGATGGACCTATTATACCTATGATCTTTCGCGCCTCTAACTGTTTCCATCTGCTAACGCGGCATATTAATTCATTCTAATAACGTACCTGTTTGCACATTTCATGTTGTACAACTATAGTAAGCGAACCTATCCCAAATACGGATCCATAATCCATGTATCGTTAAAGTTCAATCCATATTGCGCACTTTTTGCATATCTCTAACAGTCAAATCGATAAACGCTAAAGACATGTATCTCTAGATCGATCACTACCAGTAAATCCTGCTAAATTAACCACCTTAACTTGCTGCTCGGAATCTTGGATATCTCTGCATGGAAGATCGTGGACCTTGGTAGACACGGAAATGAAAAA